ATATATATATATATATATTAGGTTTATATTATTATATTATACTAATCAAACATGCAATGCTTTGGCACATTAATGGCCGCTAGTCCCAACACGGTGTATGTAAGCATGTACTGTGCATGTGGCATTTCAAATGCGTGAGTGACTCACTGAATGAATGAATGTGGGGACTGAGTAACTCACCCTCAGCTGGAGGAGCATCAGGTGCTGGGGCAGGGGTCTGGGCCTCTGTGGGTGCTGCTACAGGTGGAGGGGGGGCTTCTGGTTCCACAATGGACTCCTTGGGTCCATCAGCAGGGGCCTCAACTGGAACTTCTGAGTTACCGTCGCAACAGAGATAATGAAAGTCACGGGTAAGACGTACAATAGAAAAACACTGGGTCCATACACTGTACTGCCATTAACAAGTAATCTACTCCAAACAGCCAGTGACCAGTCTGTCATATTTGTCTAGAAAGTATGTGTAAAAAGCAGATTACGAAAGACTTAACACATATTATGACAAACAGAGACTATATTTTGTGTACCAAGACACATAATCAGTTAAAGGTTGATATTCTTTCAAACTCTGTTCTGACAGAGTGAAAATATTCTTTGGCGAACATTTATCACCCAAATATTTCTTATGTCTTATCATCTTCAAATGGCCAACTGGTTTTCCATGTGTTATCAGCTGCCTCTCATGCCTATCCTAAGCGCCAGACAAGTGGTGGTTACTCATGAGGAAATAATGTGCTGGTGTGAGGGTCAAGGTCGGCGTACAGACGGAGTAAGGCTGGCTATGATACAAGCCACAGACTCTCTTGTAGCACACTGGGCCCATTAGTCTGCTGCTTTTCTTTGAGATTTGTTTCCACCTTATCAAATCCAAACAAACGACCTCAGGGGATCACGCTGACAGACTAATGGCACAAATGTTGCTCTGTGACACACTTAGCACACTTAGTCATTCCACCATACAGTGCAGTGCCGTAGAGATTTGATCAAAATGACTGTGATTGAGCCAATGATTGCATATATCCAGATCCTTAAAGGAATAGTTTGACATTTTGGAGAATAGGCTAATTCACTCTCTTTCTGACAGTCAAAAGAAAATATTGATACCACCCTCATGTCTGTACAGTAAATATGAAGCATAAAGACTGGAAGCATGAGTAAACTGCATATTGAATTAACATGTTATATCTTGTTTGTTTGGTGTAAAATGTCAAGTCCTGGTTGTCATCCTGTATCCAGCTGTGACCATTGTGTAGGATTTAGTGGCATCTAGTGGTGAGATGGCAGAGTGCAACCAACTGAAACCCCTTCAGTCAACCAAGTGTGAAGGAGAAACTATGGATGCCGCGAAACTCTTGAAAAAAAAACAAAGGCCCTATCTAGAGCCAGTGTTTGAAACATGGAGGTTCAACATGGCCGTTCCCTCTGTAGATAAAAAAAGGTAATCTTATTCTTCTCTTATTCTTATATTCAGGTGATTATACACTGATGAGAACACACCTATGAATGTTATATCCAATTTCTGCCAATAGATCCTCCTAAATATGTCAAACTGGAGCTTTAATACATCCACAGATTATGTCTTGGACTATTTCCTGACAGTGACTTTCTAGAGTCTCTGCTGGTCAAAGTGACGACAAGACGTTGTTCTACCATTCGAGATATAAGGTGTTAATTAGTGACCTTTAGAGGGTGGCTCACCTTTATATTTAAAGGGCGACTATAAGAGTGGTATTGATCTTCTCATCTAACTCTCTGCAAGAAAGCTAATAAGCATATTTCCCATAAAGTCGAACTATTCCATTCTTAAAGACAGGCCACATGAACCTGTTTCAGAGATGTGTTTGTGAGCAGCTGTCAGACGGTTCAGAATGTGAGTCCATGTGCAGAAACATCAAGTGCATGCAAGTGCATCAAGTATTTACAGCCTCAGTGTTTTTTTTGCATTGAGTGCTCCATTATGCTTTGTGCTCTGTGTCGACTACACAGCCTTCAGGTGAGCGAGCAGAGACCTCAAGCGTACAGCTGCAGCATCAAAGTCTCCCACCTGGCTTTGATGTGACCTTCAGCTCAAACTTGACCTTTGACCCCCCAGCAATCACTGCATAGACATTGGCATCTTCCTTGGTAATAGCTTTTATAGTGAGGGAGTGCTTGTTTCCGTCAGCTGTGATCGCGTATTTGTTTCCACTGGCAATGTCCTTTAAGTTGCACTGCCATTTTACTTTAGCATCAGGCTTCTCTGTCTCTGCTTCAAATACCACAGAGGACCCCTCTTCAGCCTCCTGAGTCTTTGGTTTCTTGGAAAATGCTGAAACTGAAGAGGGAGGGTGAGTTCATAATAAAAGTACGTTTTTTGGAGTGTAAATTCGAGGGTGTAGGGTGTAATAAAATTGCCATGAGCAAACACAGGTACTATAACGGTCTAGATGAGTGGCCACTGATGTTACATTGTGACAAAAACTAATAAGTTATAATTAAGTTATATAAGTTTTGTTGAATGAAATAAACAGACCCAAAATACTGTTTGTGTTGTCTTTGTTTTATTGAAACCTAATCTTGAAGAAAGAACAACACATATACTGTAACAACTTGCAGAAAAAGAGAGGGAGAGAGAAGGAGAGGGGGGAGTGAGGTGGGGCAATTCATATTTCAGCAAAAGAAGAAGAGGTAGAAAGCTCATGCCCTGAGTGGAGCTACTCATGTTGAAAAAATACAGTGTTGTACAGTCTCCAGCACACTGGGTGGGGCTAACTGAAAACCAGTGAATTTGCCTTTTTTTTTTCACTCCACGCAGAATGTGAAAGCATGAACATCTGGCTTTGTAATGAGTCATATTGTCTTTGCATTGTTTTTGTGTTTACAAAAGAATACAAAACACTTACTTTACTTTTACTTCAGTAAGTAGAGAAGTAATATCAGCTAGATGAACTTTAGGTATCAAAAGAGTACAAAAACAGTCTTTCTATTATATATATTATATTATTATTATACATGCAAATATGAACTGGTGTGGAACTAAAATCATTTATATGTTTCAGGGCAGTTGTAATAATTAGCAGTTTATTCCTCAGAACCTGATCATATGTTGTATATGCATGTTAAATATTATTCTGTGAACTAACTATAGAGAAAGGGAGTACAAAAAAGATAAGAAAATCTGCAATACACATTATATCCTTTACTCCTGTCCTCTTAATCTGGTGTCAAATTAAAGTCCATTAATCTCATTAATTCAATAAAAACATATCATTTTTGATTGTAGTGTCTGATAAAAATGAATCCATCAGCCTAAAGCCAAACCAAAGAGGGTAAAAGACACATCTGGAACATCTATAACAAACTGAACATCAGCACACAATAGCTCAGTAACAGGCATGGGTAGTGATCCTAAATGTGGGGGGAAATCAATACATGATGTCTGCCATCTGTTCAAAAACTATTTATAGTAAGTTTTACACTCATTGTGAAAAATGCCAGCTGTTGTCTTTGTTGCTGTGTGAGGTCTATTTTTTTTGTTGGAAAAGTTATAAAATGTGCAAAGCAATGTGACTCTCGAACACTTGTCATCTCAAAAGGAACCTAAAAATAGGGATTGCAACTGATACCCCTGAGAGTAGACATGTGTTTCACAGTAACACCAGGTGTTTGCAATCATGAAATGTATGTAGGCGTAATTCACATTATTTCCAGGTTTCCAGGTTCAGCGTAGCATTACAAAATCACACAGAACAAAAAACTCCATGTGTTACGAGATGACCTTATGGGTTTAAATATAGGATACATATGTACTGGCCGAATAAATGGGGCTGGCAGGCTTCAGCTGCAACAGGGACCCAGGTATCATAGTTGGGGGATTAAGTTGACTCTATTTTTGTGACTCTGGAGGCACAGAAAGATTGATGTGTCCTCTGTCTGTCTGCAGCCGGCGTTCTGTTACGACAATCTCATGTCAAGTTGTCAGTCATTCATGCTGCTTTATCTATACACCTTCATCACTCTTAAAGTAAAATGACTCTCCTGATATGAGTTATTATATAAAATGCATGAATGGTTGGTAGTAATGACATGGTGGTAAACAATACAAATAATCTACATGGTAATGTAAGGTTAATTTAAGAACATAAAAAATAGCTTTTGTAAAGGTTTGTTGTTAAGTTTATTATAGCCATAAAATAAACATGGCAGACAGAACAGATGTTCTCTAATTGATGAAAACACTAATTCTTCATCAATTTGTATTAAAAAATTATTTTTTTGTTTGTTAGGTGGAGTTTTAGACTTTCTCATATGTAATGTTTTTTTTTCTACTATTTAATTGGATTGGACATTTTTCATTTGAATATAATAATTTCTTATTGCAGAATTTTAGTTAGTTGCTTGTTTTAAAGCTGCCCTGTGACCATTATTAGCACTATAGGGTACTTAGTAGGTCCCTATTGTTTGTATAATGCACACCTGAAAGCACCTTTTATTACAATTTATCTTTAATCTGCTTAAACCCAACTGATTTTTTTTTGGCCACCTGGAGGCAGCGGAAACAATGTCTGAACACAACATTGACATATCATCCTCTTTATGAACTTGTTAGCAAGCAGCTGTTTAATCACACATCCAGCAGTTAAGTTGAGGGCCGGACAAACAATGAGCTGAAAATCACCATGAAGCTCTGTAGAGCCGAGGGGGAGCTGCGGATTCAAGTGATAATTCTCTGTGGTTTCATCAAAGGACCCTTTCACATTGTCACATAGTTTTCATATTGTCATTTGATACATTGTTAACATAAAAATATTGATTATAGACCCTTTAATATACATATTTTTATTAACTAGCAAGTTGACAAAGCAACCGTGTTTATTGAAATACTCTGAAAAACATCCTGTTAATTACAGCGTACTGATATTAATTAATAGTAATGCTACAAGCTTAAGATGAACATAACTGTTATTATCCTCAACAAATGACACTAACTGTCTTGGCGCACACAGGCTGGCCATTTGGGTTGCACTGTGACATCTGATACGCGATGTGTCGGGCTTCTCACTCCGCAAACAACAATCCATTCGCACCGAATGGAGGACAAAATAAAACAGTGGAAAGTAATTTGTCCAGTTGGAATCCCACAGGGCATTTTTGGATCAGTGGTGCACTTTGTGAATGCAGTGATGCTGGAAATGCGACAGTGTCGATTTCACGTCAGACGATGTTTTCCACCTGGACCGTGTGACGTCTAACTGACATCCTGACATGGCCAAAAGGGATTAGACTAATTGCCACACCACTGGAAACACTTTGAACTAAGAATGGATAATTGCACGTAGTATGTTGTGATTTTTGGCTACTGGCTACGTGAGTATGAGTACGTCACATTACCCATCAACTTGTGCCGCCTTATTAAGCCATGGAATATTTTTTATTTATATATGTTGGGAGCAGAGGTAGTTACTTTACCTGATCTACTGCACTTTATTTCAAGCTACTACTATCTGCAGACCCACCACCCAGTTTAATTTTTGTCTCAATTCACTTCATTCATAGTTAATATTTACAATACATTGGTATTTATAACATTTTTCACCTTTCATATTACATTTGTTATATACATATATAACAATGTAAATGTTATGTATGTATATAGCATTAATATACATATTTTGTTATAAAAAATAATAATTTCTCTTTTTTTTATAGATGTTATTTTCTGGAAATAATTAACCTGTAAATTTATGACAGTTTTATACCATTGTTGCATATATTTTATATAAAAAAAATTGCTTTTAATTGTGACAAAATGGCAAAGAATCGCTGACGTTGCATGATTAAACCAAAAACATGATACAAACTTAAATTTTTTTTTAAGCAATTATGATGTCAAACAGTGTATCACTATTTATCATGAATGCAATGTAGAGGTTTCTAGTAGGCAGTATGGTTGTGGTTTATAGTTGCTTAAGAGGGGCGTGACCGAACGCAATAGAGTATCTTCTCACACATTTGGTCACATTTTTCTGTGAAGTTTTGCGCAAAGGAAGTAAAATATACCACAATGTTGCATGCCTACACAATCATGAGTGTGCATAGGTCATATGTACAGTCAGCTTTTTCACATACATGGTTTAACAAATGGTTTATGCTAACATCAAAAAGTTTAGGTTTTTAGACAATCTACTGTAATGACAATGTACAGTTCCATGTTTTAAGGAAATGTTACGACATCAATTGTCAAAATCAGCTGAATGAGCGCACTTACCTGCTTTTTTGACTGGCTCTGGCATCCTGAATGGTGTCCTCTATCCTCCACAGCGTGACTCACTGTTCCTAAACAGTCTGCTGTCTCTCTCAACCCCCAATGCCTTTAATAGTGGTGTGCCCCCTCCTTTTATGAACCATCCCACCTCTCCTGCCACTTTTTTTTTCCAGGTCCAATGCAATGTCTAAAAAACAACAACCACCCCCTTGTACTCTTCATCAAAGTTCATTCCATTCCAGCAGCAACTCGGCCCCCAGCCCACCCCCAGTTACGTCTGACCTCGGGCTATATTTCAACCATCCTTTCCTCCAACACCTCGGCTGACTGATAGGCTTTGGGAGGGAGGGGAAAGGATGTAGGCCTAAATTTAGAACCTTGAATCCAAAAAACAGTTTGCTCTCTTCACATCTGTGCTGCACCCAGTCACCCTGTAAATGTAAGAGTAAATATGAGAGGATGGTTGAGGATAAGAGATCCATACGGCTTTGTTCTGTCTGTTGTCAGGGATGGATGTGTCTTGATGGACAGGGTCTTAAAGGAAACCTCCTTTGCAGACCTACTAACCCTCTGGAGTCCAGGTTCATTTTAATAAGTTTTTGCTTGTTTTTGTACAGCACCTTTAAAAACCGTCCTTCTGTCACATGCTTTGTATCCTTTTTTTGACTTATAATTGTTTCAATTTAAAGATATAATATGTAACATTTTCACATTA